ATATATGCTGTAGAAATCAATAACTGGATCTCGCCAGTGATACAATTGTGATAAGCAATTACCAAAGATAGAATCAGAGCTTTCGGACAGAACCAGACTTTTCTCAGTAATTACCGATTTTAAAAAAGGTTATGTAAAGAAAAATAAATTAAAACTAACCAAAAGGGAATTTTGCACATCAATAGGCAATGTGTCCAGACTGTCGAAAACTGGTTGAAAATGTGATATTTAAAGCAATCAATATGTACTGATGCACAAATTTAACATGTTTCAGATGACGATGGTTGATAATATTGGTAAAAGGACGGGCAGAAACGAAATATTTATTTTATAAACATTTTGCAGCAAATGAAATAATAATGAAAACAAGTCTATCTTTTAGAGAAGATAAATTAAGAAGAGCCAATCTCAGGCTAGGAAATATCCCTATTCATACATCATCTGGTCATTCTGCGCTGTACTGATCCGAGAGATAACAGATCGCCGATCTCATAGGGTAACCATAGAGAAAATAGAACATATTTTCTCTATGGGGTAACCAACCAGGTAGACAGGCCGCAATGAAGGAGGATAGGCCGAACGAGGGCGTTAAATTAATAATAATTTGAGGATCACGAAAGTGTATCTAGTAGCCTCAAAATACAACCTAATAACCGAGATTTGCCTTGGATGCAGTGATATGAGGTTTCCAGTCAAGTTTGGTATTAACTAAAACACCAAGGTACTTGTAACTATTAACACTAGTTAAATTAATGCCATTTATATTATATATAAACATATTTGATGCATTACGTGACCCTGTGATTCCCATATTTATATAAAGCATTTAATTTCATTCCGTTAGTAACATGTTGCCTAAATCTTTCTGGAGTAACAGAGAGTCGTCGTTGTTTTTGATGGAGCGATGTAAAATGTGTGTCATCAGCATATTGATACATAGAAGAAGAAACAAGGTTAGGGCGGTCCAAAATGAACAAATTAAACAGAGTGGGCCTTGTGAAACCCCCGATCGGACGATACAAGAATGAATTGGCTCCTCTAAAAACCACTAGTTGAGTTATATTGTCCAAGTAAATATAAAACCAATCATATAATGGTCCACATATGCATAATGATGTAATTTATTGAGAACTGTGTGACTTATTCGATCGAACGCTTTGCTCCAATCTAAAAATATGACATCAATATAGGAGGTGGCATATACGAGCATCAAGAATACCATGTTGGTGGGGAAATAATAAAGAGTAGGCCTACATATCAAGGTGTAGTAAAAGATGCTTATTTATTGCTTTTTCAAGCAATACCAACAAATGGAACATAGTGAGATTAGAGGTGTAGTTAGTAATGTCATCAGGTGCACCAGAATTGTGGATAGGTTTTCTTCCAATCATTGGGAACCGTACCAGATGAAAGAGACAGGTTGAACAATTTTGTAAGTGGCTCTGCGATAAATATTGCAGTTAGCTTGAGCATAGTGGAAGTTATACCATCTTGACCAGGCGATTTGCAAGGTTTAAGCTTGTTTATAAGCCGACTATCTCCTCAGGTGAAGTACGGATTCTTTCTTTTTCTAGTTTCATAAATAACTCTATTCCTAAACGTCTTATAAGTGGTCCATTTATTTGTGTTACTGGAACGTTTAGCTCTTTTGTACATTCTATCTTTTTTACGGATTATTCTGACTAATTCAGGGGTAATCCAAGGGTTTTTTGGCTTTGCCGTAGCTTTACGAATAGCCACAACCTTATGTAGGCCCTATATCCTCATGGAAGCGTATTTTGAACTTATCCCATGATTCGTTAACATCAGATCCGTCAAGAGTATTGTCCCAGTTTATATTTGTTAACAAATCAATACATTCGGTCACATTCATTTTGGAATATTGAAGGAAGTGGAATACAAAGTCTGTGAAATACAAAGAAATCAGCAATAGAGGGCGTCGGTAGCACGCCCCACCCAGAGCCGTAGATAAAGAGAGTTGGCCAACTCGGATTCACGGGATTCGATATACGCGCGTGTGATTGGGTGGATCGCAATCACATGACTTACACCGGCCATGTTGTCACCAAAACAAAACATTAAAGCTATACGCGCGCATGCGCCTGGGCTGTTTGGTAACGACATGGCGTCCATGCCCCAAGTTGGCCAAACTCTCTCTATCTACGGTTCTGGCCCCACCCAGAGCCATAGATAGAAATAGTTGCGATATTGAATTTAGAACCCATTCTGATGTGCGTTCCTGTATATAATATTGTATAATACAATTAGCGGCCTTTTTAGGAATTGAATTTCATGTAACTATATATATATATATATATATATATATATATATATGGTTTTTTTTATGACTTTATTACTTTATATTCCATTTCATATTATATATACATGTACTGTAATAATTTACTATTTTTAGGCAGTTCTTTAATCCTTTTCGATAGTCGGAGAGCCGCTCGATGGCAAGCATTCTTCAATTAGGCAATCCTGCCATATACAGGCCTAGACCCTTAAGTGGCGAAAATAAATGATATATGAACCAACAAAAAAATTAAATATGTCTATCAAAATGTAATCAACATTAGTTACTCTTATATTATTTTAGGTTACATTTGTGTTATTCATGTATTTAATTTGTGTGGGAAAAACGTATTTTTTCTTGAATTTTGCCAAGAGGAACAAGTGATTTTCGAGATCATATTATAATAAAATGAAAAAATTATATCATACTAAATGTTTCTTTGCCAAAAATCCTCCTTTAATTATTGTTTATAGTAACAAACGAACAACTGTATCAAAACATCCCTCTCGTCTGAAAAAGTGACGCAAAGAAGAATGCAACTTGCTGGTCATCAGTGTGTGCGTCACAGTGAGGAAGTCGCTTGCGACCTAGTGCTATGGCAACCTCTGGATGGATACAAGAATAGGTGGAAAGAAAACCACTTTCATAGACATACTTAAGCAAGACACAGGGATGAAAAATGTGAAAGAGCTTCAAAATTGTATGTTGGATAGAAACATCTGGAATGAGCACGTGCAGGCATCGGTGCGATAATAAATATTATTATAATAATAAATATTAAAATAGTATTATGTCAAGTCGGCTGCATCATTTTCGTTTGTACATTAGTAGTCCTACACAAAATTATCACTCAGAAAATTATTGTTTAAAATGTAAAGGGCAATCCTTTGTCGACGTGTCTTCTTAATTCATTGGTCTTGTTAATTCTGTATCAATTTTTCCTGCCTACTTTATCAAAATCAGTGCTGGCAGTCCAATATTGAGCAGCCAGTATCATTACTTTTAGTCTTTGTCGGTTTTACAGATTTCAATGATCCGTAAATAGAGTATATCTGGATTGTTCTTTAAAATTGAATATGAGCGAGCACACAAATCTGATATTATTAATTTGATTATTATCATTTATAAGTATTAAAATAGTAGGCCATGTAGGTCAGTTGGCCGCAATATATAGGCCCTAAACTGATATTGTGTAGGCCTAAAGTAAACAGCAAAACATAACTTTTTTGACAAAGGCAGGTCTTTTCAGTCATAGAACCTTTAACATTCCAATTATAATTTCTATGTATTCGCATTTAATTATAAAGCGCTCGTGAATGCGGGCAAGTATTCGAATTCTAAAAATAAATTTTAAATCACGCTTTTGATATTAGTTTTCAATTAAGTAATAACATGTGAAAACTATGTGTAATGTACCTAACTCGTATACTCTGCATGTATTCATCGGGAAGATTTGGACACAAAAATGGACGGTGTTGTCCCACAAAATGAAGGTGTAAACGTACGCAAACATTTTGCGGGACAACTCATGTGTGGGACAGCCGCGTATTCCTAGTCTTTTTTTCTGATTTTTCAGTCGTTAAGTTTGACATTGTCGATAGGTCCATTCATTACCAGGACAACGTAAGATGAAATGGACGATTTCACTGCAATGTAATTTGGCCCCCGTGGGTAGGAAGCACAAACGGATACGGAGAGTCATTGACAACTGTTCGTTAGTAGTTCTGAATGTATTACCAGATAATTAATGATCACATATTTTATACGTAGGATATTACACAAAAAAAATCTGCCTTATGTAATAGGCCACCTCACTGACTAACTCACTGAACACACCAGATGAAAGCAAAGATAAGCATAAATATATAAACATTTATTCAAGTTTGATTGATTTCAACCGTTTTAGGTAATTGTTTTATAATAATGTAATTGTGCTAAGTAATTATGAGACTTTATGTGAAAATAGTTTCATTTGAACATACGAATATGCTCCTGCGCAGCGTTTACTTCTTAGTACAGATCACGTTCGCTCCTTAAACTGTAAAATACCTTTTAAATGGATTCTGAATACATACACAAAGTTTGTTCAAACCTCTGAAATACCAGATGGCTCTATAGACCATAATGTCCACTGGTTATCTAAAGTTACATACACAATAATGTGATATTTATATAGACGTTAACATTGTAAACAATGATTACTATAAAACGTTCTTCATGCTTATTCAATAGGGTCTACAATTTATTTTTTCGACATTATTCACCAATTAAAATTAAAGAAACTTTATGCAAAATAGATATATATTATTCAAAGAAAAATATAACAGTGAAACGTAAATGCAACCTATAAGGCCTATGTATGCGATAGTGAATTGTTGTGTTTTGATTCGACGTAATTATGACGTACCTAATTAAAACACATCTTCCCTGTGAATATGGTGATAAGCGTGTAGTGCAGTACATTATTTTACGGTCGAGTTAAGCCTAACGGTAATGATTGTACAGTGATGCAAGCATTAACATTATTTATCATCATTGATATTTTACCTAATGTCATTAATACACTAAATACCAGTCTCCCTCCAATTAAAGATCTCTTCTGGAGCCGTGGTTTATATAGTCTTTAGCAGTTTTGGTCTCTAATTAGAATAATAAAGATAAAAAACATTTGTTAATTTGGAACCTTAGAAAAGTGGTCTTTAATAATTGGAGATGATCTTCAATTGGGGGTCTTTAATTGGAGGGAGACCTGTATTATCAATATTTACAGCTCAATGTAATTTTTTAAATATTATAGATGATGATAAAAAGTGTTATTCAAAATAATGAAAACAAACTGATTACGGTTTATTATTTAAAACCTCTCTGGTGCATGCTAAATATGCACAGATTATGATGACAATACCGCCTTGCGAATTGTATATTTACCTTCTCTTTTACGAATTTTCATAAAATATTTGGGACAATTAAGAGTCCTCACACCACCTTAAAATGATAAAACTTTGAATAAACATAGATTGCATACAGACAAGTTTGAATAAGATAATGATTTAAATCGTGACACCAATTATAGATCTAACAAGCCTCACGCATTCGGCGTTAAGACTCGCGCATTTGGGGTCTGTCTCACGCTCTAAGGACCAAAATCTCACGCATAAATGTGATGCGTATACATTAAAAAATATGTATACTATTTGTATACCTTCGTAGTCCTCTTCTTACCAAAAAAATCTAATATACACCATAATACCAATTAGCTGCACTAAAGCTACATTTACACCAGACACGATGTGTGTTGAAGAATATAAACTACGCGATGATATCGCGTGTCGTGTCGTTATCGTGTCTAGTGTAAATAGCTCAACACTGTACATGTAAATATGTCATTTTATAAAGCGCTCTCGGATATGATCAAAGGTACATATACTACAGTAGACACTGTCAGCTCATGCACTATGAGAAGGTTCGTGTGGACGACCTCAGATGTATGTATTCTCAAGGAAAAATTTCAGATCCTGAATGAATTTTTAAGCATTTAGGAAATAAAATTGTCCTGGAAGGGGGTGGGGGAATTTTCAAGTCTCACGCACTCAATTATTTTCACATAACGATACACTTTTTTTCCTTCCCGATTTCCGCTGGCTGATTTCTTCTTCTAAAAAAATAAAAAATATCGATATTTAATAATAGAAGTAATAATAATATGAATAGGCCTACTTTTGTAACGTTAACGTTACTATACTATTTGTACTGTATTACTATCTGGTGTGTGGTACAATGTTGATATTGCAAGGAAAACAAGCATTAACAAGTAGGTCAAACCTGTAATCTTGGTGGGCAGCCTTCACCACAGCTTCGATTTCAGGATCAATAATGCAATCCAATATTGACATTTGTTTCTTATTCTTAATATTAATGTCGGCGCCATTTTTGATAAGGTAAATGCCAATGGCAGCAGCCTTTTCCTTGCCATTACCCCTTCCACCACTGGCAGCATTCACGAGCTGCAGTTAAACAAGTGAAGAAAGAGTATTATTAATAAATGTGATGTCATTATTAAGTTGTTGTTGTAATAAAGACCATCAATCAATAAAGAACAACAATAGGCCTATTATTATTTATTGTTTTAGTTGAGAGGGTAAGTAATAAAGGAAAATAAATTCCTACTCCCAGACATTAAATTTGAATATTAAAAATGAGAAGGCCCAATACGGAAAATAATTGACACGAACTACAACAAGAAAGAGTAGGATAACGACGAGAATAAAAATAATAAAAATAAGGCAAAATATTAATCGTAATAATCATCAAATTGCAATTATCATCAAAAACATCATGCCTAATCTTAATAATCGTAATATCGGTTTAGTTGCCTTGATTTAAAAAAAAAACCTTTACATTTAATTTGATGATAATAATATTAATAATAACAGTCATCTTATATTAATTATTGTTAAGTTAATAATTTATATAAAAAGACACAAATTTAATTAAAATATTGAATTGTAATCCTGTTTATTAGCTGAAGACAGATAGGGCCTAATATTTATTTAATCATCACTTTCAAATAATGTGATATAGGCCTACTTACCAATCCTAAGAGCGTGTTTCCCATTAATTGCCTTCCGGACTCTTTGATCTGCAGCACATGCAGAGCCGTATCACCGTCCTCGTCTTGGGCATTGACATTCGCGCCTTTTTGGACCAATAACTCGATCATTTCTGTCATTCCCTTCTCCACTGCAAGGTGAAGGGGTGTGCCCATTTTAGCATTTCTCGTATTCACGTCAGCGTTTCCCTAAATTTAAATAGTTATAGCCTAATATTATTCAAAAGATCAAGTATAGCAGATGTAATGAGTTATTATTAAAGCAATGACAATGATAATAATAACAATGACGTCGGTGATAAAGATGTTGATGATAACGATTTAATACTTTTATTAAGCCGGGCACCCACTGCGCTCGACGGTCGACAGCCGACGCGTTTCTATGAAAGACGACCATCGACAATCATTAGACGGAGTCTCATGGTCTAGCGCTCATTTCATTTCATTATTTATTTGGTCATTTACAACAACAACAACAACAAAAGCTGAAATTTGGGGAGACCAAGGACAACCAGAGTGAACCAAATCACTGTAGCAAAGCCTGTTTACCCAACCCCAAATTCAGCAACACATTAAAACATCAAACATTACAGCGAATCAAAATACAAAGAAACCTTACGAAGAAAAGAGGATGGGCTTTCTAAAACTGCAGCATCGGTTAACAATCTAGGGAGTTGGTCCCAGACACGAGGCAACCTGATGGCTACCGAGTTGAAAAATGCTTGGGTCCTTGATGCTTGCTGACAGAAACACAAGCGATCATTATGTCTGGTATTGATTTTGATACCATCATAAACCGTGTTGCAGTTTAGAAGGCCCATCAGAACTTTAAAGCAAAAAATAATAAGCAATTTGTCCCTTCTGACGTGTTTTGGATTTATAGAATATACAATCCTATACCGACCTGTACAATCAGAATTTTGGCAACATTAGTATGTCCATTGATGGATGCGATGTGAAGGGGAGCATGTCCCCCGTCTGCCATCTTGTAATCAACTATTGTGGGGCACTTGTCCACAATTCGTTGCACTGCACTGAATTAAAAGAAACGAGATTTGAATAGTTAATGATAATTAGAACATGTTAATAATAATTAAAAAAACAATGCATAGGCCTATATCATTAAAAACTATTATAATAATATTAATAATAGTATGGATAATAACGAGAAAAAAAATAACAACAGCACTTCTAATAATAATGATATACTAAATATAAATAACTATGATGATGACGATGATATTGATAATGATGACGACGACGGTAATGATGATGTATAAAAAGATCTGAGACAACTATATATTTATATACTTGTCTCAGATGATCATAATGATGATGATGACGATCATGATGATGATGATGATGTTGATGCTAACTGGCTGATAATGATGGTGATGATGTTGGTGATGAGACGGATGATAGTGATAATGATAATGCTGATGATTATGATGAATAAAAAAAAAGAATAATAAATTGATATTCGAATTCGATGCAGATGAGAACCTACTGGTCATTATCTTTGAGAGACGCCCATTGGAGTGCATTGAAGCCTCGTTTGTTACAGATCTTAAAATCTGTTTGATTGTCATGAACTAGTAGGTTGATCATGCTCCTCTCGTCCTTTACGATTGCGCAGTGCAAGGCCGTATCTCCATCCTTGTCCTACCAACAACAAAAATATTTAACTTATTAGTTTCATTTTATTCATGCTTCTAGATACAAGGATACATAAAATCACATTAAGATACATAAAGACAAGATAATACTCATATTTATATCCAGTGGCGTATCTACCTGGATGGGTTATTGGAAGAGCGCCCCGACCCCCAGACGCATCTTACTGGAAATTTGCTGAGCAAAAACAAAGTACGCTCAAGTAGATAAAATCAGCTCATATTATATTATTCTGCCAGCAGCACACGCCCACGCACAAGTATCAAGCCACTCGGACATTCGCGCCCCAACCCCAAGCCGTTCCAAGTTTATCCTCCTAGATACGCCAAGTGTAGCCTATACAAACTCATTAAACTGACTGGTCGACTGGTTGTTGTTGCGTGATAACCTTTTCTTCGTCAAATCATATAGCTCAAACTCAACAAAAAATAGAATTATCATCCTTATCATTATCATATCATCACTATCGTGCGTTATCATTACCATTTTCATTACTATTTACCAATAGCATTATCATCATTTTTGTCATTATTATTATTCATAGTAAGTATAACTCGCATCGTTATTAATAATAGACCTTTCCGCTAAGCTCCGCCCCTTGGATATTGTTGCTAAGGTCCCACACAAGACGGCAGTGTTAAAACGGTTAACCATGTTAAAACTACGGAAGCACCTAAGTGCCATTCGACTTGACGACTTGTCAAGATAATTATGTTGTCAAGTCGACATAATATACATATCATGTCGACATGGCGAGATAGATTATCTTGACAAGTCGACATACTAAAAATTGTATGTTGTCATGACGAGATAGGTTATCTTGACAAGTCGACATAATAAAAGTGGTATGTTGTCATGGTGAGATAGATTATCTTGACAAGTCGACATAGTAAAAGTGTTATGTTGTCATGGCGAGATAGATTATCTTGACAAGTCGACATAATACATATTGTATGTTGTCATGGCGAGATAGATTATCTTGACAAGTCGACATAATATAAGTTGTATGTTGTCATGGCAAGATACGTTATCTTGACAAGTCGATATAATAAAAATTGTATGTTGTCATGGCGAGATAGATTATCTTGACAAGTCGACAGAATACAAATTGCTCCATTAGGCATATATTTATTATACAATAACCTACACCTGAATTCATCATTGGATCATAGCCAACTGTACCATCATATTCTATTTGATCATATTTCAACATAAAACTTTTACTATGTCGACTTGTCAAGATAATCTATCTCGCCATGACAACATACAATTTTTACTATGACGACTTGTCAAGATAATCTATTTCGCCATGACAACATACAATTTTTACTATGTCGACTTGTCAAGATAATCTATCTCGCCATGACAACATATACAATTTTTATTATGACGACTTGTCAAGATAACCTATATCGCCATGACAACATACAACTTATATTATGTCGACTTGTCAGTATAATCTATCTTGCCATGACAACATACAATTTTTACTATGACGACTTGTCAAGATAATCTATCTCGCCATGTCGACATGATATGTATATTATGTCGACTTGACAACATAAATTATCTTGACAAGTCGTCAAGTCGAATGGCACTTAGGTGCTTCCGTATAAAACCATAGAGCTATTATATCTCTATGGTAAAAACATACGCGAACACGTGCGTTTGTGGGACAACACGTGTGTTTGTAAGACGCGCGCACATTCCTAGCACTGTTTTGATTGGTCAGTTGTTAAGTTTGATTGACACTCCGGAAAGGTCGATTATTAGCATCTTTATCATTAATATGACATCAGTCTCTTTATTATTCTTAATATTTCTATTAGCATTAACATCATCATATTTATTGCAATGTACAAGGTACCTGAGCATTTCGGTCGCAGAAAAACATTTCTTGGAGCAGGAAGTGCGCACACTCTTTCTGACCATGAAGAGCACACAAGTGTAATGACGTGAGCCCGTTTTTATCAGCGGCATCCACCGTACACCCACTGTTAAGCAATAATTCTGTAGCATTTGGCTCCTTCCTTAAAGACGCAAATTAATGTTGATATCAATTTATTTGTTATTTATTAAATTTTCAACCAACATCATCGTAACCATGGAATAAGTGATCGTCAATAAATTTATATCAACATTCTACTTTTATTTTTGTAGTCGTTACAATTGCAAATTATTATAGAAGAAATTACGGATACAAGATTGCTAGAAGACGTCTAAATTAAGGGGAAATGGAAGCAGCAATAAAGCATACCAGATTGCCAGAGAACGTCTAAATTTAGGGGAAATGGAAGCAAGAAGGATACCAGATTGTCAGAGGACGTCTAGATTAAGGGGAAATGGAAGCAGCAATGAAGAATACCAGATTGCCAGAGGACGTCTTAAGAAATAATAAATGGAAGCAGCAACAAAAGATACCAACAAAACCTAGAAAAGAACTCTGAGTGCATAAGGGAATGACAGAAATATAATCGGAAATTAAGAATGCCTCAGTGGTTAAATCTAGTTTGATTTGATTTGATGTTAGAGGAAATATACAGAAAGGAGGAATTGAATCGGACAGGAACAATCCTATAGGCCTAACGGAGAGTGAAGTGAGATGAAGAATGAGAAAAAAACTATCATAACATATAATACCTACCCAATAACGGAGAAGTGAAGCGGAGTAAGTTGGTTTTTGTCCCGCAAGTTCATCGTTGCTCCAGCTTTTACTAGAATTTTTATGCATTCCAACTGGCCCTGGTGGGCAGCAACGTGCAGCGCACTCATATCTTGCGCCTTCCTGTCAATCTTTAGAATATGATCAAATAGAATATGATGGTACAGTAGGCTATGATCCAATGATGAATTCAGGTGTAGGTTATTGTATAATATATATAGGCCTAATGGAGCTAACGACTTTCGTCAAAGAATGACGATCTGAGCATGCCAACCACTAATTGTCAGGAGAAAGGTTCCTCGGCTTTGGGTTATTTACTTTCAAGATTATAGTTTATGATAGGATCGCGGTTTATTTATTTTTTTCTCTCCATCTTTTCTTTATACATTCTTTTGCAAGATTAGAGTATAATATATATTTTCAGTGTTATGTACTAAATAAATTCCATTACGTAACTGTGTGTAGCTATAGGACGGTCCTTGCTTATGTTTGCCAAGATGATTCATGAATGTCATGTCACGTCTTTTACATTCATTAGTGTTAATAATATGAATAATAATAATAACTCATCCAGTTAACATACCCAGTCTGGATGTTGGGTTAGTAGTCGCTTCAGACCATCGGTGTCGCCCTGAGCAACAGCTTTGATCATGGCTTCGACACTGTTGGCTCCTCCTGCTCCAAGAACTCCGCCACCAAGTCCACCACCGATTAAATCACGTGCTAAGCGTTCTGCTAACGCCATCCCTATTAACGCACGTACAAGGTCCCCTGCGTCACCTACAACCCAATCGTGATTTTATCATTTTAAAAACTCAACATTTTATTTTGTTATGACACCAATCGATAGTTACGAACGGGAAACATTTATTAATATCTCTATTTCTACACGGTACATTTCATCACAAACTGTAGCATCTATGGAAGACTGTTTTACAAAATGACACGGCTGCAGATAGAAGAAAAGCCAAAACAGAAAACCAACACATGTCATAAAAAAAAACACACGAATATGGTATCATAATTTCATAAAACATCATCTGATTTTAATGTTACTTGTTACAAAGCGTAAATCTGTGCATATAATGGTTCCTGTTGAAATTCAAAATTGGATTACCCGATGGAGGCTAGTGTCATCCACAGTGCAGCGCCTGTCACGGCCAGTACCGCAACCTCCTACTCTTTTTGAATAGTATACTAAGTATTTTTCGTGTGTATATGTGCTATTTGGCAAATAGAACTAACGGTTTAGTGTCTAATTCGATGGACGAGGTAATCAGAGCAAAATGCCTTACAAAAACACAAGGAAGTAGGATATTCACAGGTTGGTCTCGTCCTCATATTAGAATGACCTTTCCGGAGTGTCAATCAAACAACTGACCAATCAGTACAGGGCCTGGAGGACGCGCGTGTCGTATTAACACACGTGTTTACATACATTTTACGCTATAGTTTTGCGGGACCATAGCAAAAATATCCAAGAGGCGGTGCTTAGCAGAAAGAGCCATTAAATGGCGAGACAATTGCCCTTCTTACCATCATCGTCCCCTCCATCAGCAGCTTCAAGACAGATTGGATTATAAAACCAGCAACCACTACTTTCAGTTTCCACTTTGATGTCGCCGTCCTTTGCAATTGCTACAACAGTACCGTCTTTACCTGCAGTCTGTACAAAAGTGAATCAAATGTCAATAGAAGATGCGTACTTATACACTAATATGATGCGGTAAAATAACGAAGTATAATATATCCAATTTTGAATTATTGGGGGTGGGGGAGGGAATATAAAAACATCGACATCAAACTAAATATAAACATGGTAGATAAGATGTGTATAAGAGACAGATATTATACCTACCCAATAACGGAAAAGTGAAGCGGAGTAAGTTGATTTTCAGTATACACAATTAAAAGCCTAGTGTATTGTACATAATACGAATTTATACATTATATATATCATTACTTTTCTTTTCTTTAAATTTTATTCAGAGGATAGTAACACGACAGAATGTAATAATTTAAAGGAACATTTTAATATTTGATGTTTTTTTTGATTGCTTTTGTTATGTTTGATGGGCTTTAACTGATTTCGCCACACCTTTTACTGTAACTGACCGAAATCATTGTGTCTTGCCAACCGCAACGATCCTGTTGAAGACGACGAAACGTTTCGATGGGTAAGTCACGCACTTTGACGGAGCCACCGACTGGAAACATTACTCTGTGGTACATCATATCTGATTAGAGATAAAGTATAAAGCAATTAGTAATAAAAACTGTTTTAAATAGACCTGCTTTATTGAAACAGTCTTGTACTATAATAGTTGCATTCATTTCTATGAATTGTGCTTATATAAGTGTTTTTTTTTTATTCTTCATGAGTATGTGTACCAGGCATTGTTTCAAAATATAATAAAGATAATGTGAAGCGCTCTGAGCCTAGTTAAGTAGAACGCTATATAATACCGACATATTTTATTATTTAATCTTATTATATGCTTTGCAAGAATTCAAAACCAAAATGCTGTAGTATTTATTTCTTTCCATGAAATCATTACAAAGAAAAAATGATCATAATGATAATAATAAATAATAACAATAAAAATAACATCACAAGCAATAAAACTGTGGCAAGTTGATTTAAAAGGGCCCAAACAATTATCATTTTTGACATAAAAAAAGAGAAGAGGCAGTTAATTAAAACATTGATGTGATACAATAGATTATTACGCGGCAAACTATTCCATAATAAGATTCCTTCATAGTTAAACGTGTTATCAATTTTCTTATGAACAGTGAAATTAAAACTCTTTTCCCTGTACCATGTGTGTGATTTACTCTATTCTATCAATATTATATACATTTGGTAATATCATTGCTCTGCTCTCGACAGAAAGAAAACATAAGCTAGACGATTTCCAGAGAATACTGTATATATCATTAGGCCTACTATTTAAATTGAACATTCAATTTCATGCAAAAATAGTGTATTGTATTTATAATATAATCATTTGCATACTGTAAACCCTTAATTAATACCCACGGGCTTAATCCATGTAAGAAGCCCATCTCAAAAACAAGCCCTCTCCCCCACCCCACCACCTCTTCAGTTTGCAAAAGTAGTCTCAAAGAAAGCCCATGGGCTTCTAATCAAGATGATGGGATTCTTTCGAGATAGAACTTACGGTACATTCAGAATGAAGTTATCTTTAATTATTAGTTCACATTCAAGTTCAAGTTTATTAAAAATTACATTCGCAATTTCCTTAGGAAGCTGAATTATATTGATTTGTACAGTATTTTAAAAC